ATCACACACACACACACACACACACACACACACACACACACACACACACACACACACACACACACACGCACACACACACATCTGAGCTCTGCTGTGATCTTCACAATCACACACACACACACATACACACACAGACACACTCAACAGTAATACAAACATCAGAATCAGTCACAAGTACGTCACAAGTACATCACACACACACACACACACACACACACACACACACACACACACACACACACACACACACACACACACACACTCACACACACTCACACACACACAGCTTTGGTCCTGTCATTTCATCAATATATAAATTTGTTATTTATTTATGTATTATTTGTTATTATTAATTTCTTTTCTTTAATTTAACTAAAAACTTTCTTTAATTTTAATTTATGATTTAAGTGTCTGCTCCTCTGAATAAAAACAAATACACATGTATATTTACTCTTCTCTAACCAATAGTGTGTGATGAATACAATATTTGGGTAAAAGTAGCCATTATTTACAAACCAAATGACAAATGAAGAAATAACAATAATATGGAGAAGAAAACACCACAATAACAAACTAAACAGTCTAATAAAACGAAAACAACAACATAAAGGACACAAAACAACTCCACTCTGTCCCTATATCCACAAAGAGCCACACAACAGAAATAAACTCTCACTGCTCACTCCCTACTTCCTATAACACACATACAGCAAATCAAGCTGGGTAATGATCATGTACAATAACACACCGCTAACTAAACTAACCAGAGCACGCGCTTTGACGCGGTGACGCGCTCGAGCTGATTTGATTGACAGCTATTATGACAGCTCAGTCAAAACACATGAATCAAGAGCAAAATGAGCGCATGCGCAGTGAGAGGTGACATCTCTCTGCTGAGAATAAACGCTCGTGTCTTCATATCGACTGTGTAAAAGACTCACGCGAGCTCAGATATGTTGATGGTGAATAATTAATGTGGATTAAATAAAGCAGGAGCGGATAAAGCCGAATGTGAGGCTTGAAGACGAACAGATCGATAATTGTAGGGATTCCCTGACCGATATCGCTCACAATATCACCATCACACACACATAGATGATCAATACGGCGTTTCTGCGCGCACACACTGTGATGTTTACATTGTTATCCTCAATCTAAACCATTTATATTCCTCACAGCATCTTTAAATATCCACCCATCACCAAATGAAGGAGAAAAACACAATATTCATCCTGCTTATGATATTATCCAGTGCACAATAGCAGTCAGCGCTGACTCATTATAGTATGGATTTATCTGAATAAAAGCAGAACGGAATTATGAGCTAATTTGATTTATTTACCTCAATTAGATCCGCGCTCGTGCCAAACAGACTCCAGCAGCAGCGCGCGCTCACGGTGCATGACGGGAACGTGCGGGACTCGCCGCATTAATTCATTCGCATCCGATTGGACGAGGTGCTTCAGCTCATGAATATTTAACGAGCGCCACATTACGTGCGCGTGCGCAGATTAAAGATGCAGGATCTGCACCACAGAAGATTTATTGATTAGAATAGTAAACATATGATCGATAACTAAGCGATGCCATCTGTAGAGGTAGTTGTTTCTCTTGTTAATATTTTTATTTGTGTTTACTCTTAAAAAAACTAAAATCTCAAAACATGTTAATATTTTCTTTAAATTCATCTCTTTGGGTTAAAAATAGAATTAAATGTGTAAGATTGAGATCAATATGTAATCAATAAGCATCATCGTTTATTCAGTTATTGTTATAAATACACTTAAAACAAGAACAGACCTTATAC